AACTGAAGTTGTTGGGAAAACCCATCCTTTCAGCTAGCACTAGCCATTATCAACTCAAAAGACTTAAGGCTCAAAACAATGCCATCACCCCACCAGCTTATCTGAGCACCTAAGCTTTGCTTAGAGAGCTGCATTAGCCACTTTGCAGGAGGCCATGGGCTGCACTTGGTTTTAAACAAGAGTAGCTGCGATCAATTCATCCCGGGGAAGACAGGCTGCATAATTTACTTAAGGGGCATACCCTGAGCTAAAGAGCTCCTGAGATAAACCCATCAGTTTCAGAGAAACTGTTCCTATTTTAAACACAATCCCATAAATCCCCATAACCAGTGGGCAGGAAGAGAAGCACGTTCTTACCAGGCTCTCCTCCTACAGCCCAATTCTGCATGCCATACTGCACGCAGCCAGTCTGAAGAGTAAGAAACAAGAGATAAATACTGACACAAGAAGCTCCCCTACTCCAGTAAAACATCACAGGTACAGCATTTAACACACCTCTCCGACGTATTTTGAGCTCAACCTGATGTGAACAGTCCCAATGCCTTTTTCTATTTCTACCCATTCTACCAAAGCATTTCTGAAGTCAGTTTGAACTACTTGCTTTTTACTCTTGAGCTAGAAACCGGAACAGTGGTTTCCTATGCATCTTCTAACAGAAAGAAGTTAGAGGTACAGAATGGAGTTTGAGTAAGAGCTTGTACTCTGCAGACCATTAATGGTCTAGGTGCCTGATGCGTCAGCTTTTCTCTCACTACTCTTACTAGAGAACAGATAACTGCATTTCACATTCTGTGCCTCTGCCTGCAAGCTTTTAGCTGAGGTGCCGACCTCCTGCCAAAATCAAAATAATACATGACCTGCCAATAACTTTTGACTCAGTAGGTCACTCACTAAAGGAGAGAAGCAGACTCTGCCTCACAAACCAATTATACTTTGGCACCACAGGCCATCCTCCAGTTGGACCCAGGAATAGCCTTTAAATACTCTAATGGTCTTCAGTAAAATAAGCTTAGAAAACCAGTGCAAGACATTGTGCTGCAAAAGAAAGTCTTGGCTTTGCCTTTTTTTGATGCAGGGATGAGGCAAGAAAAGTTTAACTAGGGTTACAGGAAGTTTCTTTTATAAAGCCTGTTTTGTTTAGTGATATTCCTGTTCCACAAAAAAAAAAAAAAAGAGGAAAGTGATAGTATCAAACAAGAATGCATGTCCAGTTCCCTGTGTTGCAAAGAACTCAAGATGTAACCCTTCACAGCCTCAAGATTCAATTCTCCAAAATGCAGGACTGTGCTCTTTTGGAAGGAGGAAGCAGCCAGCCATGATACTCTTCAAAGACATCCCAATGCTCTCCCTGGAACATGGCCACTCTGCAGCCCAAAGAACACCAGGTATCTTTGTCACTAGATGTCAGTAACATGGCATTTCCTACAGGAATGATGCCTCTCTTCTGACAGGAAAAATATGGAAGTAGACAGTTTGGCAGCATCTCTTCAGATTTGAGATTGTTCCTCCAAGCAAAACTCATAGGGACATACACAGATTTTACTATAGGAAAAAACACTAACTACAGCTCTGACAGCGTTCAAGTAAGTGTTGCCCAATCAAACACCATATGAACCCATATACAGTTAGAAGCCTGCAATACTGAGACTTCCAAGCCACTTCCAAGCCACAGGAGCCATCCAGACTCACCTATCTGGGCAAGTTCCAGGCTCAGATTTTGGCAGCCTGAGGCTAAAACTTGATAGCAGCTTTGTCATAAGCTAAAGCAAGCAGAAAACAGATCATGGTCTCATACAGCTTATGGAATGAACACTAGATTCAAAAGCAAGTAACTTCCCAGTGGGGAGAGGAATCAGCTGCACTGGGTGATAAACACAAGGTCTGCTTCCTGCAGTTTTGCTGAATCCAAAAACATAGTCCTGGGAAGAATGGATGTGGAAACGCATCTAGAAGAGCCGCTGGATAGGAGCCTGCTTTAAGCCTCGGAATAAGCAGTTCGGCATCAGCAGAGCTGCGTTCTGCCTCAGCAGGTTTTCCAGGGAGAAAGCAGAGTGCAAGCCATGACCCAGCTAATTCACGTCTGGATCAGTAGTACAGGCAAATAATTTTCGGTGAAGTTCCAGCCCGATCCGATTGGGAAAAAACCTTTGCTCAGGATGACCTGACGCATCGGTGCCGGCCTTCCTGTGCCATACACAGCCCGACCCTGTCCCCACCCTCCCCCGGTGCAGCACCGCAGGGCTGCCATACAGGTATTCCAGCCAGAGAGTTAATTAACAGCTATTAATAACCCCCCCTGAGCCACAAGCAATGTACGAACGAATGATGGGGGTCGCCCAGCACCCCCTCAGAGGAAACTGAGGAAAAGCCCTCCCGGAGAGCCCCGCTTCTTCTCCCTCCCTACTAGCTCCGGGGACATTCTCGCGTCCCTCCCAAGGGCAGCCGGCGGGACACCTCGCCCTGCAGCCACCTCCCCGCCCCGGGCCTGCAGACCCCCAACCCCCAACCAGCGCCCAGGGAGCCGCCACCCACAGTAGCTCGGCCACCGCCCGGGCGCGGCCGCAGAGCGAGGCCGACCGCAGCAAGCCGCCCGGAGGAGGGACGGGCGCCGCGGTGCCCGGCAGGGAAGCAGAGCGCGACCCGAGGCGCCTCACCTGCCACCACCGCCGCCACCACCGCTCGCCGCCCCGCGCCCAAGATGGCGGCGCCGCCCCCCCTCACCCCGCGCCCCCCCGCGCACTGCAGAGACGCCGCGCGCGCGCCCCGCCCGCGCCCCGCCACTGCGCATGCGCTTCCGCTGGGAGGGGCCCGCGCTGCGGGGGCGGGGAATACACTTCTGCGCATGGCATACTGGGAGTTGTAGTCTGTGGCGAGGAGAGGACAGCATGGCAGCTGAGCTCAGCGACCGGCTGGGCCAGGGGGGCGCCCGAGCAGGAGGCCGCGCTCGTCCTGCAAAGTCTTGGAGTTGCCGCGCCCTTCCAGAGGGCTGCTAGCTCCCGCTAGCCTCGCGCCCAGGCATCCCCGCTCCCCACCCCGCAGTGCTGCACCAAGGGCCAGTGCCCACAGTCGGACTGGTCCTTGGTTCTTTCCGTAGTGTTGGCGCTGGAAACGGGGTCCCAGAGAACCCCGAGAGTCCCCGCCCAGGCCCTGCTCCGGACTCAGCCCGCAGCCGCCCTGGCAGCCTGGGAAAACAGCTGGCACACTGGCACAGGATACCCTCGTCCTGCTGCGATCTAGCTTAAAAGCAAAAGGCAGGAAGATGGAGGAGGCTGGGAGGAAAAGAATAAACAAACGACACAAGGCAGAAGTCCAATAAAACTATGTTTATAAATAAAAACAAGGAGATTGGTGTTGTTTTTATAAAACCCAGTGGGTAGGGTGGGGCAAGGGGGGAGTAGTGGCCAGGGAGGCTACTGGGGACAGTCTGACTCCAGCGGGCTGAGGAAAGGAGAGGCTTCAGGGAGTCAGGGAGATGAACTGATGGTGCATGAGAGCTGGAAGGGGGGCTGCAGGGGAAGTGCAGACTCCCAGGGAGCAAAATACAATTCAACTCCATCGTATAAAAACCGTGAACACAAGAAAGACCAAAGGAGGCAATGCTAATGAAGAAAGCCACAGTGTGGCAGGAGGAGAGGGCGCCGGGGCGCCAGCACCAACAGCAGCAGGGTTGAGCGTGTCCATACTGTACCGTGCTTGGCCCTGGGCATGGGGAAAGGGGTGCCCCAGCCCCAGGCACGTCTCCGAGTACCCAGAAGTGGAAGGAAGAAAGACAAGGAGCACTGGAGCAAACAGACTCAACCGCCCCAGCACACATGTGGGCACTAAGCCCAGAGGCCACGGTTCAGGCTGCAGTCTCATCCCTGGAGAGCTCGTGTTGCCACCAGGCACTGCTCATAGCCCAGAGGGAGTGGGGTTGTTCCAGAGGCTTGTCCCTCCCAGCAGCCAGGCCAGCAGCACCGGGCAGAGGAGGAGACAGACTCAGGCCCTTCAGAGAGCAAATACAGAGTACCTCCACCTTTCTCCAAAGCATGGAAGTGAACCGGTTGTGCCCTGCCCTCGCCTTCTAACTCTGTCCAGGCCCCTGAAGGTATCACATAGCTGAGCAGCAGCGCGACAGCAGGAGGGAGAAGGCCACAGCTGCCACTGCCAGCCCCAGGCATGGGACAGCACCTACAAACAGGACAGGCAGCAGCAGCACATTGCAGGCAAGAGGGCAAAGAGCAGGATGGAAGGAGCAGAGCTCTGCCCTTAAATTCCCCCAAAGAACCCCAGGGCAGGTGTAGGGCACTGAGTCACACAAGAGACTCTGCACAGGCAATCACCGCCTCTCTGGGCTGGATGCAGAGGTACAGCCCCAGCCCTAAGGTCTGGCCAAGGTAAAGGAGGGTCCGGCCATGGGGCAGTGTCAGGCTCAGACCTGGCCCAATATATGGGCAAGAGAAGGGAGGCAAGAGGGAAGTGGCAGCATCTCTCCACTCCCTAGAGGCACTGAAGCCCTGGAACATTCACGCATTAGCCAAAAGGCAACTACAATGGGATTTAAAATACATATATAAGGCTGGTCCCTGCTCCCCTCTCAGGGCTTTGGGAAGGGCAGGGCGTCTTCCGCGAGGGGGAGGAAAGAAGCCATCTTCAGCGCCATGCGTGCCCAGCGCCCCTGGAGCTCCGTGTCCTGCTGTCGGGCCACGCCACGCTCCAGCTCTCCCCCCCACGGGCGGCAGGCTCAGAGAAAGTCAAACACCCCGTAATTCTTTGCTGCTTGATAGAAGAAACACAAAAGGGTGAAAAGAAAAGAAAAGATGTTTAAGGTGGAAGGACTGAGGCAGCAGTGACACACGGGCAAGCAGCACAGGGTGCTGGGACGGATGCAGATTAATGGGGTTAGAGAGGATGGCAGGAGGGAATTACCATCGGCAATACACAAGTCTGGTGGCAGGATGGGCTGACAGCACCCAGCAGGCCTGCCAGGCCTGTCCACCCCACTCGAGGAGGGATTAGAATCAAGGTTTAGTTCCATTTATTATTTTTTTCCCTTTTTTCTTTTTGTTATCAAGACAAAAAAAAAAAGAAACAAAAAAAAAAAACCCCAAAAAAACAAGGGGTGAAGCCAGGGCTGGTCCTAGGAAACAAACGACAGGGATAGAAGAGGGAAGGAGGGACAGCAGACAGACAGGGGACGGGCGCTTCACATTACATCCACAAAGAACTCACTGGGGTTGCCCATGGCCATTCGGAAGGACTGTCTACTGGCTGTCAGTTCGGGGGGCACAGAGGCCAGGTCACGGCCTGGTGGCGCCCCGGGGGGCCCCATGGCTGACGGCGGTGGAGGCATCAGCAACATGGGGGGACTGAAGAGAGGGGGGAGGCCGGGTGGCCCGTACGACTGCTGGCTGTGGTGGCTGCGGATGCTGTGAGCCAGGGAGTGCTGGCTGCGCTGGCTGTGCTGGCTGGCCGGCACCGAGCGCTCGCTAGCCGCACGCTCGCGCCGCATGCTGCTCCTCGTGGTGTGGTCCGACTCGCTCCCGCTGCCGCCTGACTTCGACTCCCCGGTCTTCTCTCTCTCCTTCCTCCTCTCGCTGCCACTGCGATTGGAACCACTGCTCCGGCTCCCTGCAAAGCACACGAGGCAAGGTTAGGTGCCAGTTCGAATAAGTCAGGAAGAAGGGATGGATGCTCCTCTAGCCAAGGGAGGACTGCAGAACATTCTGGCACAGCCAGGCCCCAGCACAGTCAGTGCTCTCAATCTCCCTTCAGCAGTGACCCTTCTGAGATGGCTTCTGCCCTGGCTTCCCCCACATAGGGCCTTGCCTAAGCAGCCTTTTCCTGCTGCTGCCCTGTACTAAACAGGACGTCTGCTCACCTGCAGGCATATTTTAGTCCTTTTCACTCACCTTCACTGTGCTGACTGCCTGCACTGCCCCCTCCGTAGCTGTAGCCTGGGTCAGGGAAGCCGGGATGGGGGTTGTATGGATGAGGCGGTGGATACTGATATGGGAAGGCCATAGGCCAGGGTGCGGCTCCTGGGTGGGGGAGCGGAGCCAAAGTGTCCTGATCAGAAGCACCACTGGAGCCATCATGATCGTGAAGAGACAGATTAGCCATGTCTGCAAGAAAGCAGAGAACAGGGGTTAATCCAAGCAGAAAAACAACCACATGGGGTGATGCAGCTTTCTGTCCATTCTTGCTGGTGGGCAAGGACAGGATATGCAATGAGACAAGAGGTTGGCACTCTCTCTGTTAGTCAATGCCACCATTTGTGCTTCCTGGCTGAACAGTTGCCAGGCTGTGGGAGTCCAAGCTGCCACTCTAATACAGAGACCAGCATGATGGGAAAGGACCATATCAGAGCTACAGCTCACCCCGCCGATTCCTTCCCCCATCTTACTTGAGCAGAACTCAATTACCTGAGAACCAACCCCTTGCCAGCACTGAAATTCAGACCCTGGAGACAGTCAGAAAAGACTAAGACTCTGCTGTGACTGCTCATGAGAAAAGATCACATAGTAGCTGGCACTGACAAAGCTGCTTCCAACTTCACTACCTCAGCAGCAGGACAAGGGAGCTAGGATATTCTTCACCACTCCCTTAACAGCATCTGTAGAACAAGAGGCCCAGCCTGATGGCAATGGCTGTAGGCATGTCCCACGGTTTTAGCAGGGCTCTGCATGACCACTACCCCTCCATCTTCTCCCTCCCACCCACACCACATACTTCCACAGAGGTCCCCGAAGATGTAATAGCACTGCTCCGAGAAGGTGATCTTGTTCACAGTGTGTCGGATGTAGCCAGCCTTCAGCAGATTGCTGGCGTATTTGCGGGACTCACGGCGGTCTGTAAAGCCTTCCACATGGTGATAGAGCCAATCTACCACATCCGAACCTGCAACCAAATACAGAGTTAAATTTGTCAAGAGAGAGGAAGATGGCAGCCCTTGAGGCACTGAGCCACACCGGAGCAAATACAAAGTGTGTCAAAAGGTTCAATTTGTGACTCTTGCCTAGTCAACAGTTTGTTTATAGTGACAAAGATGCTCCCTGGACATCTGCTTGAAAACGGGCCACCCATTCTCCAGTTCCTTCTATCCTGCAGGCAGCATAGTCTCTTACCAATGAAGGCATTGGGGATGGTGATCTTCAGCCACATGCGGTCACGCACCTCGAGGCCTGACTCTGGTGAGGCCATGGCTTTGACAATGGTGGCCATGTCACTGTGGATGGACAGGTGAAAGTCATCGAGGCCTGTGGTGTGGATGAAGGAAGGTAGGCAGAAGTGAGAGAGGACAGAAGAGACAAGAGGGCCACATGGAAGCATCACACACCAGAAAAATGGGCCAGGGAACAATACATCGCAGACAGCCTTGGGGCACATGCCATGTAACCCCCCTACCAGCCTTCCCATGTTATCCTTCACATGTCAGCAGTTTCCTCTTGAGCAAAGCCCAGGCAGGAGCCACAAAAGTACAACAAACTCCTGATTTGTTGCCTCACCCAAGCTCTCCAGACCCTTGCTTCAGGGCTCTATATACCAAATCATCCCAAACCTTCAGAAAGCAACCAAGAGCCCTATGCTCAGCAGGACCCTACCCCACCACAAGGTTCTTTGCTCTCAGCTGCCTCCTCTGTCCTGCTCTATCTGCTGTCTGGGAGAAACTCTCAGTTGCTCCAAGGATATGCTGAATCCCTCTGGCTTCACATTCTCAGCAGCTAACTCCTGACTGGTCTGAGCCTTTCCTCTACACCTGCCACAGCTCCTGGTCGCACCCAGGCTCCTCTACTCTTCTCACACATAAGGCTGAAAAATGTGATATTAATTCTCCCAGGCAGAACTCCCACTGATCAAAGTGACAGCCTGGTGAGAGCTGCTTCCCTCCCAGTCCCTTAGCAGGGCAAATCTGGCCCACCCCAGCTGTCCCCAGGCAGATGTATTGCTCCCTTCACAGCACAGTGAAGGCGAGGAGGCCGTGCAGCGAGTGCAGCACGGAGGCACAAGAACTTACGTTCGGTCTCTGGGATGGAGCTGGTGATGGAGGAGCTGGTGGAAGTGATTGTGCTCATGGATGGACTCATACCGTACGCTGGGTAGGTGCCAGTCATCGCTGCCGTGTGAGACACCCAGGCTGCCGGGTCGATGGGCCGGATGGGCTCACCTGCATGGAAGAAAGAGTCAGTTAGTAGTTGTAAGAAATTATTGCCTCGTCAAAACAACCTCTGGGGAGGGACAGGGACTCAGCACAGCCCATTCCATCCCCAGTGTTTGCCGGGACTCACCCGGATCGGAGCATGGAGAGTCTGGCCCAGCCCAGATCCGCTGGGGAGCAACTGGGAGAGAAAGAAGAGAGGGAGGGTCAGCAGGAGAGGTGCAGAGGGAGAGATCCCCCTATGGCTTAAGTGGGGGGTTTCTCTTTCCTCTGGCGCCCCGAGCAAGTGACCTCCCTGCCCCAGTGAAACGCGTCCCCAGCGTGATGTGGGAAGGAGGGCTGGGCTTATGGGCATTTTGGTCTAGGAATAGGACATAGCAGCCTCCTAAAAGGAGAGCTGAAACCCGATCAAACCCCAATTCAGTGTCCCATGGAGTCACACACACGGGGAGGAACAAGACAACAACCAAGTAAGTGCTTAAGGCAGGGCTCTCACATGAGCTGGGCACCAGCGCTAAGGGTGGGTCAGCTATCCACTTACTCCTGGGTAACGAGAAGCAGCCCCGCGGACTGGGGTCCCAGCACTTGGCCACTGTCAGGGTGATGGGCCTGCAACAAAAAAGTGAGAGTTAGAATCAGAGCACAGTAACACAAACCCTTGCATGATGGCTAGATGCTGTGTGTCAGTGCTCTCCTAGGAGACAGGGAGAAGCTGCCAGTAAAGTGACCTTGCTCCTCTCCAGCTATGGGTTTCCCTAGTGACACGAACAAAAAGATGGACCCTGCTGAGGTTGCTGATGACCCAAACAGAATCAGAGAATCACAGTACAGTTTGTTTTGGAAAGGATCTTTAAAGGTCATCTAGTCCAATTGCCCTGCAATGAGCAGCAACACGGCGTCCCCACAAAAAAAGGGGCACAGACCCCAGTTTCCCACAATTCTGTTGGCTGCAATTCTTGCATTGGACGTGGAAACCCAGGAATCAAAGCAACACCAAAACCCTACGTTCTGAGCTTCTGCAGAGGCACTGGCAGAGGTGGCTGGAGGATACGACTCATACACCCCAAGCACAAACTGTGCAGATGTCCCTGGATGAAAGGAAACAACCCAAGTACTCACCCCGGCTTGTGCACAATCTCCCTCAGCACCCGCACAGCATCATCGTTGCTCATGTTCTCAAAGTTGATGTCATTTACCTGCAAACAACACAAAAAGAGGTGAGGCCCAGAGATGTGACCAGAGGCTGAGCTCCCCACTCAGCTCACAAGTGACTCAGCTTCCCTCTTCCAAGCACAGCTTCCTGGGTTTAGCCTGCCAAAGTTCTCAGGGAGGCTTCTGGGTCTTTCCTGATTTCCCAGGCCCAAAGATGGAGATATGTGGGTGTGAAGTACCTGCAAGAGCATGTCTCCCGGCTCAATCCTGCCATCAGCTGCCACAGCACCTCCCTTCATGATAGAGCCAATGTAAATGCCTCCATCCCCACGCTCATTGCTCTGTCCCACAATAGAAATGCCCAGAAAGTTGTATTTCTCTGTAGGGATGGAAAGAGAAAGAAGTAAGTCATCTCAAAGCATCAGGCACAACCAGACCTAATCTCAGTAAAACCACATCCCAATGATAGTGATTTGCACCCCTGTCCCAGAGAGATGTCCTAGGACACACAAACTCTTGAGAGACAATTTCTACAAGAGACGCCAATCTCCTACAGATTCTATCTCCTCACTCCTCCTCCATGCATTCTCTTTGCTCCCTCCCCAGGTCCCTCTCCATGACCCAGTCTCGCTCTGGAAGGACTGCAGGCTCCAGGCACACCTCCCACTCACCCATATTCAGCGTGACCGTGATGATGTTCAGGGACATGGTGGAGTCTGTGATGCTGCTGAAGGACGAGGACTGCAACGTAAGCGAAACATGAGATGTCCTCCTGTGCCTCAGTAACATTCCCAGTCCTAGCTTCCTCCACTTGTACTTTCCTTCCCGCCCCTCCTTGTGGCACCACAGCCACCACCCACAACTCCAGTCTTATGCAGGGAGCTTTGCAGAGCCAGAGAAAAGCCACGGTCCTTATGACCGCTCTACAGCCGGGCCAAGGCCTGTAGTCCCAGCTCTTTAGACTACATTGACTTGGAAAAGGTTCACAGCACTTTTTGAAGTCTCAGCACTTAGACACTCATTCAAAGCCATTCAAAGCCCTCAGCAAAAACAGCTGAATCCCTGAGAGCCCACCCTGACCTGCACTTCCCCCACTAAGATACCCAGCCCCTCCCTGAGTACCCGCTCAATGCGTGGAGCCTTCTGTTTCCGCCGGCGTCGCTTGTGCCTCCTCATTAGACGGGAAGCACTGCTTTGTTCTGTTGAACTGCTAAACCTGCAGGCAAAAATAAGAGTCAGCTCTTCTGCTGCCATAGAATTGGCTCTGGCAGCAAGAGAGCCAGGGAACAGAGGACTGCAGGGGCAGAGGGGAGAACATGCAGATGGGGGACAGATAATGGCAGAGGAGTCTGCTGGGTGAGACAGAAGCAGGTCTGAGACCAGGACTACTGTACCCGGCAAAGACATCTCTCTGTTCTGGGAGTCAGGGGGAAATTAGTGTTTCCCCGAGACCAAAGCTCTCCTACCTGCTGGTGGAGTCATCTTCATCTGAATCGAAGAAGCTGGTGGTCTCCAGCTCGCTGCTCATGAGCGTGGAGGAGCTCTCGTACCCACCCAGGTCTCGGCGTCGCTCTCCCTTCACTGTCCCATTCACCCTGGGTGCTGTGGAAAGGCAAGGCTCAGTGGGCTTCAGACAAACCCTTCCCCTATGCAGGACTCATGACAACCTCCTCAGAACAAGTCTGGCCATTAGTTAATCCCATCTAGTGCCAAATAACTTCCAGTCTACCCTGGGATCAGATCCATCCCCTATGGGATGCCTCTTCTATCACTACATGATGGGGAAGAGGCTGATGGGCCAGTAGGAACAAGATTATTAAACTTATGGAAGACTTGCAGCTATTTCCTTGGTGGAAGAAGCAGCACGAGTGGCAAGAGTAAAGCTCACTCTGCTTCTCAGCTAAGAAGACAGAGGCACAACTGTCTTGTTGGGGCTTCTACAGGAGATATCTCCTTTGACACCAAAGGGTTCAACACCAAGCTCTGATGTAACACAGGTGTTAGGTCCCATCTCCAATGTGAGGCTATGGCCCTTCTAAAAGCCATAGAATAGCTCTTTTGAGCTGGGAAGGTTCTGCAGAGCAAAGAAAACTGCCCCAGGTCTGGAGCTGGTGCTGCCACTATGCCCCAGCCATGCTCTTGCAGAGCTCTCACCATGTTACCAACACTCACCATGCTCAGGCCCATCTGTCCGACGAGGCCGTTCCCTCTGCGATGACACCACCGAGTCTGTCTCTGTCTCATTGTCCAAGTTCTCCCGACTTCCCCCAGTGTTAGGGCTGTGATGAGATAAAAGCAGCAAATATGTTCAACAGGGAACAACCTGACAAGACTGACCCTGCCTCTGTCCTGACCAACACAAGGTTCCAGCCATCAACTGTCTCCTTCTTGCGGGACAGGAATAACCACAGCGCATCTGTGAGTGCAGGGCAAAGGACTGGGGATGCTGTGCTGGCTCTTTTGCTGCATTATTTTCAGCATGCCCTTGTTTGTTAAGTAACGCAGCTCCACTTTTAAGTCTGCTCCCAGCCCCACTCTCCTCCCCTCTTGCTGGCTGTCATCCCTGACAATTTGGTTAAGAATGTCCCAGCCTGGTCTGGGATACTGGTCTGGATTACAGCAAATGCACCATGTGTCCCTTGGAAACCAGAACAAATGTCCATGTAACTTACTGGAAAGAGGGGGGCCTGGAGTCTCCAATTCCTCCTGTGCGCTCCATGGAGGGTGGCAGCTCTGTCTGGTTATCGGCACAGACCGAGCCAGCATCTGAATGGGAACCCTCTGCAGACACCAGCTGGAGGGATGAGAGACAGAAAAGGAAACTGAGAAACATTTATAAGAGTGGCCAAAGGAGCTGGCCAAAAGCCTGCCTGGCCAAGGATCTCAGTTCTGGAAGTTGACAACAGCAGATGCCCAGGAGCAGGTATGGAACAGTCCAAGCATGCAGCAACACTTTCCCTTGAGGCCTTCCCAGACACTGGCTATTTGTGGCTCAGGAATTCCTGACCCAGCAGTGAAGCCCAGGTGGGTGACAGCTGTGCTTGGACACTCTGACATGACCTGCACACCCGCACCACACACTCAGGTAACTTTAAGCACATATCCTGCAGCAGAGACTGGATTCCCTCAGTTCTCACACTGAAAAAGGCAGTTACAAGTCATTCCTTTCCTCAGCTCTAGCAGCCTCTACACTTCTGCCTTCAAGTTGTGGGACCCAGCAGGAGTTTCACCTTCACAGCCCTCAGAGCTCAGAGCCAAGGCTGGCTTTGAAATAGACTCTTGAAACAGGCTCTTTTTCTGGCTTCCATACGTACTTCACAAACTTCCAGGCTGCGTTCAGCATATTGGTTTGAGCACAACCTTCAGCCAATCTCTGGGATGCTCCACGGATTCCCCAGTGCAGAAATTCAAGAAAGGGTTAAACCCTAGAGACTCTTTATACCAGCTATGGGGAGCCAGGCACACCAACATACCATAATTCTCACTCTATAATAAATCACCAATTTCAGGGCTCAGGGAATGAGCTGGAGACTCTCCCAGGGGCCACAGGATCACCAGTGGAATGAAACAGAGGATAGCCTAAACAAGCTATTTCCCAATATTGCTCCCTGTCCAGATTTGCATTCTCCCTTACTTTCAAGCTGTAATGAACTGGGCTAATCCCAATAGTGCCCAGCAAGAAAGCAACAAAAAGCCTTTCTTGACAGAGGCATTCAGGACCTCCAGAACACACGGAATCACACACAGAATCACTAGGTTGGAAAAGACCTTGAAGATCACTGAGTCCAACTTGATTGAGCAGAGGTGACAAGGCCCAGAAAGGATCTAACAGAGGTGAGGGATATCCACTGTTGCTCAGGACAAAAGAAACATGAAACATAGGCTGGAAAAAAGCTGATAGCTGCTGTCTAAACCACAATACCCAGTGTAAATTCAGTGGCAGTGCTACTGCTTGCTGATGAGGGAACCACAACTGCATGGAGCAAGAGCAGATGCCCATTTATACATGTCTTGAATGCTTCCCAGCACCACTGATGAAAGAGCTGTGCCCTGCCCACCTTCAGGAACTGGGGAATCCCTCATAAGGGGGGATGGACCCCACAGATCATCATTAGCGTAGCAGATGAGAGGTATACTGCCAGAGACATTGTTAACAGAGACAGGGATGTAGCTGGGGCAAGGAAGGCAGGGCAGCTTTGAAAAAGCCAGAGCCAAGGCAGCAGACAGGGCAGAGAGCAGCTTCAGGTGTCAAAAGCTGCAGAGCCTGTCCCACAAGCCCCAGGACAAGCCCAACGGCTCCTGCTCTCACAACTGTCTAACCAGCTCTTGTCTCACGCTCAGGTCAGCTCCTCTCCCTTCAGCAAGCCCCAGGCACATGCCTAGCTCTGCTCCTGGCACCTTCCTGGTGACTTATCTTCCCAGGACACATTCCCCTCCCTAAGGGCCATATCCCTTCTCTGGTAGCCACTGCACGGGAGCACAGGGTAGAGAAGATGCTGAAAGTGGCCAGCATTGCCCAGGGAAAAAGTCATAACACTTTATGCTTGAAAATCTCAAGGCAACATCAAGCAAATAGATCTGGACAGAGGGAACTAGCCACAGGCAGCTGTCAAACAGCAGTGAGGAGAGCTGAGGGGGTATTCCCAAGTAGGCGGGATTGATCCTACCTTCCTCCAAAACTCCCAACGCTGGGATTTCCTCCCAGGAAGGTTTTGATAACCATCCTTCACTTTTCCTGTCAGGAAATACTCACTTGGATTCAAGCCCCCGTCTTTCCCTGTTTTTAAAATTAGTACCGAGTTCCTAAAATAGCATCATCCCAGCCTGTCTGTTAGAAGCAGCAAAGCAAGTGCTCCCCTCTCAGCCCCTAAACCACCCATGACTAGGAGACTCTCAGCAGAGATAGAAAAAGGGATTATGAGGTGCACAAAGGCCTCTGAGACTGCCACTACCCTTCATGCACAAGAGCTGGTAGTGATGCTCACTCTGGACACCAGTTCCCTGTGAGGATCCATCCCAGCAGAGCAGCAGCATGGTGGTCACACCAGATCTGCACCACTCACACTGAACAACTAGAGAGCTCCTACAAGGAAGGCCAGCAGCTGCATGGATACATGGATCACAAGTAAAAGCACACCAGATTAAAAAGGAGCACTGGAATGGATTTAGAGACTCTGAGACTCCCCATAGGGCAGGTGAAAGCAAAAAGCAGCTGGAAAGGGTAGGGTGGGGAGACATCTTGGGGCAGATGCAGCAGCAGCGGGATGGATGCAGAGGAATGTGTGGTGGCCAAGAGCTGGACACAGGTTTTTCTGAAGGGCCTGGATAACCGCTAGAGGGAGGACGGCAGGCGTCCGGCCCGGCTCTTTGTGCAGGAGCCCAGCACAGCCTTTCCTCCCTGCTCCAGCCTGCATCCTGCTCCCCTGGCTGGAATCCCAGCGGCAGCTGTGTCGGCAGTGGGGTAGCTGCCTGCTCTGTCACTGTTTGGTGCAGGGATAGAAGCAGAATTAGATCTGACCTAGCCTGATTTGCCGAGGATTTTTACTGTTAAGGGTCTGTTTAGAGGCCTCTGGAAAAAGGCACTTGAGTCTTGGCTTTGCTCCTGGTGTAGATCCACACACCCTCAAAAGCACAAACTGAAGCTCAGCAGAGGGAAAACCGGATGATGTGCTCTGGAGACTCTCCCCCCACTAATGGAGGGTCCCTGTGGGGACAGAGGGAAGCATGCGAGCAGGAAGCAGAACGTATGCATGGCATGGTACTGAGGGAAAAGCCTGTCCTGCAGCTGCCCAGGCAGTACCTTTAGTCTTCAGGACAGTCAAATCCAGTCCACTTCACCAGCACTAAAGTCACTTAAGCCCTTTGCGCCAGTCACTGGAGTGGGACTTTCCTTGGAAAGCTGACCCTGCTATAGGGGCACAGGGGTTATGTTGTGGACAGGCCATGACCATGATTTCTGCTAGGCATCAGTTACCATGAGCTCTTTATAGAGGTATCCCACATCTTCCCTGGCACAGGACACCCAGCATCACAGAGCCCCCTCTCCAGATGAGGGACTGGAGGGTAGGGATCTAGCTCATCAGCTTCGTGAGCAGCCAGCACACTAACAGTACTGAGCAGCCCCTGTGCCTTACTTGGCACTCCACATCCAAACGGTGTTTTTCAGAGAGGGCACAAACAGGCTGAGATATCCCGAAGCAAGGGGCTTGCTTACCCACGACACCACCCGGCCGTTGAAGCAGGGAAGCTTGGCATTGTCATCCGAGATCTCTTCTTTCACCACCCTGCAGAGAGGAGAGGAGGCAGTCAGAGCTGGGTTCAGGACTTCAAAGGAAAACGAGACTTTCCCAGATGGGTATTTGCACACAACACCAGGCAGCCCAGGCTTGGGGATGGAGCAGGAGAGGACTGTCAGCTCTCTCCTGCTGCCAGGCCACAGGTTCCTATGCTCACAGCCACGACTGGCAGCCTGAAGAGGAGCCAAAGACAGAATAGTTTTTCTATGTGCATGCATCTGTTTCATCCCCTAGTTCACATTTTAATCAGTAAAACCAAAATTCAGGTGTATATCATAGAATCACAGAATTGTTTAGGTTGGAAAAGGCCTTTAAGATCATCAAGACCAACCACTACCCAAGCACTACCAAGGCCACCATCAAACCATGTCCCCAAGTGCCACATCTACACGACTTTTAAATACCTTCAGGGATGGCGACTGCCACCCCCTGGGCAGCCTGTTTCAGTGCTCAACCTTTTTGGTGAAGAATGTTCCTAATGTCCGATCTAAACCTCCCCTGGCACAACTTGAGGCAATTTCCTCTTGTCTTGTTGCTTTCTATTTGGGAGAACAGACCAATCTCCACCCGGATACAACCTCCTTTCAGAGAATTGTAAAGAGTGAGAAGGTCCCCCCTGAGCCTCCTTTTCTCCAGACTAAACACCACCAGCTCCATCAGCTGCTCCTCACAGGACTTGTGCTCCAGACCCTTCCCCAGTTCTGCTGCCCTTTTCTGGACACACTCCAGCACCTCCATGTCTGTCTTGAAGGGAGGGGCCCAAAACTGAACACAGGGTTCAAGGTGTGACCTTACCAGTGCCAAGGACACGGGACAGTCACTGCCCTGGTCCTGCTGTCCACACACTACTGCTGACACAAGCCATGATGCCGTTTACTTTCTTGGCCACCTGAGCACACATTGCCTCACGTTCAGCCACTGTCAATCAGCATCCCCAGGTCCTTTCCCACCAGGCAGTTTTCCAGGCTGCCTTCCCCCAGCCTGCAGAGCTGTGTGGGGTTGTGACTCAGGTGCAGGAATGAGCACTTGGCTTTGTCAGACCTCATACAACTGGCCTTGGCCCATCGATCCAGACTTTCCAGATCTCTCCGCAGAGCCATCCTATCCTCCAGGACATCAACACTCCCACCCAACTTAGTCATCTGTGAACTGAGTGTGCCCTCAATCCCCATGACCAGATCATTGATAAAGATATTAAACAGGACTGGCCTCAGTACTGAGCCTTGGGGAACACTGTGAACAGGCAATGGATGTAGCTCCATTCCTGACAACCTCCTGGGCCCAAACATCCAGTTTTCTACCCAGGGAACAGTGCACTTGTCCAAGCCATGAGCAGCCAGTTTCTCCTGAAGAATGCTGTGGGAAATAGTGTCAAAGGCTTTACTAAAGCCCAGGGAGATAACAACCACAACCTTTGCTTCATCCATTAACAGTGCCACATTGTCACAGGAGATCAGGTTGGTCAAGCAGGACCTGCCTTTCCAAAACCCATGCCAGCTGGGTCTGATTGCCTGGCTGTTCTGTACATGTACCATGATGGCACTCAAGACAATCTGCCCCATGACCTTCCCTGGCACTGACAGGTATGTAGCTCCCTTGGACTCTCTTTCTGGTCCTCCTTGTAGATGGGTACCACATTTGCCAACTTCCAGTCACCTGGAACCTCCCTGGTTGACCAGGACTGCTGGTAAATGACAGAGTGACTCACTGAGCACTTCCACCAGCTCCCTCAGTATCCTTGGGTGGATCCCATCTGAACCTGTAGACTTTCGTGTGTCTTAAGTGGCATAGCAGGTTGCTGACCCATTTCCTCCTGCATTACATGGGCTTCATCTGCTGCCTGTTCCATCTCCCAGCTCCGAGGGCTAGGCACCCTGAGAACAGCTGATCCTGCTATTAAACACTGAGGCAAAGAAGACATTAAGTACCCCAGCCGTTTCCTCACCCTTTGTCACTGTTTCCCCCCACATTCAATAATGGATGGACATTCTCCTTAGCCCTCATTTTGTTGCTGACATTATTTGTAAAAACATTTTAATTGTCTTTAACAGGAGTAGCCAGCTAAGTTCCAGTTGGGCTTTGGCCCTTCTAGTTCTTCCTGCATAACCTCATAACACCCTTGCAGCACTCCTGAGTTGCCTCCCACTTCTTCCCAAAGTAAAATACTTTATTTTTTCCTGAGTTTGAGTAAAAGCTCCCTGCTCAGCCAGGCCATTCTTCTTCCCCATTGGCTTGTCTTTCAAGCACAAAGGGACAGCCTGTTCCTGCTTCTTTAGATTTTCTTCTTGAAGAATATCCAGCCTTCCTGGGCTCCTTCACCCTTCAGGACTGCCTCTCAAGGGACTCAGTCAACCAAGTCCCTAATCAGGCAAAAGTCTGCCCTCTGCAAGTCCAAGGCAGAAGTTCTGCCTATCTCCCTACTTACTTCTCTGAAAATCAAAAACAATCATGTTGTGATTGATGTGCACAAGGTGGCCTCCAGCCATCAATCACCCACCAGTCCTCTGTTCACAAACAAGTCCACTGCATGCCTTCCCCAGCTGGCTCCCTCACCCACTGTACCTGGAAGCTCTTCCACACACTCCAGCAACCTCCCAGACAGTTTCTCTGTATTCCAGAGACATATTTCCACCAGCTTGCTTATTTCTAAAGAAATACATAATTTAAGCCTCTTTATAATGATCTCAAAGAATCACAAACTATGCCAGAGATTTCTAACAGATGAAAGTGAAATGCATTAAACATGCTGCCTACTAAATGATACTGTTGCTTTTTAATTACTTACATATTTCAACATCACTTCAAGCTTTATAGTTGTGTCATAATGTCATGTCCCTGAATTACACAAACAGCTACATTATTTTCACCCTTCACAGTGAAAGAAGCACTAACTTTGCTTTTTTCCCCAGGAGTAAAAAAAACAAAACAAAACAACAACAACAAAAAAAACCAAACAAAAAAACCAAAACAAAAAAACACACAAAAAACCAAACCAAAACAAAAAAAAATCAAAAAAACTCACCAGTTTTCTTTGGAGAAAGTTTACTCTTTTTTTTATTTTAAATATCACTGGACCCCTAAATACTTGTTCCACAGAGAATCTACAATCAAAACAACTTGCAAATTCAGAAGATTCAATTACTACTATCTTTGATAAATCAAACACCAAAACAGGCTTTAACAAGCTCATTTCCTTTTTTACCCAATGACAACATTTTAAGCACTCTTATTTAATACAAAGATATATTACAATTAGTTTGTGATACTATATTCCCCTTTCCAAGCTATATCTAAGGTAGCTTGACACACATCATGCTTAAAACCTGAAGTAACTAAATAGTGAATAAATTATGTGTGGGGGAGAAAAAGTCCAACAAAAAAAGAACAAAGTAAAGAATGTGAAAGCAAGAGAAATTATGTATTAAAAGTAAGTAGATTATAAGTATCTAACATTACTCAGAAGTGGAATCCTATCAACAGCTCTGAAGGATGCCCAAGCCAGTCCCCAACTCACGGAGAATCGAAGAGGATGCAAAGGTGGGACACGGAGCTGTGACCCATTGCACCAGAGTACCATCAAGTCACACCACGCTGGGGCTCAGAGAAACAGGTGCTCTGGGCTCCTGGCTGCGCTCCCTCGTGTGCCAACAGCTGGCCCAAGTGCCCCTGAAAACAGGACACGAGGCTTGCCAGCATTCACAAGGCATCAGCAAAAGGCAAATGAACAGTGCTGGAAGCCCAGACCTGGGGAGCAGGCTCGCTCCACCCTGCCAGCCCCACTGGCTGCGCCGGTGTCACACACACTCAGCAAAGGGCTGTCCCACGGGGTGAAAGGCAGCATGCTGCTAGGCATTTGCTGGCAGCTGGCACTCACAATGCCTGACAAAACTGGAGAGCCAGCAAAGGGACTGCACAAAGGCTACTCATCCCCAGAAGACACGGATGAGGAGGTCATGGTTTGAGCAGTCTAATCCACTCCCAGGATGTGTATTAATTCTTCTCGCACAGATGGAGAAGCAGGAAAAGCAGGAAAGGAGCAGTGACGATGGATTAAAACCCTGCTAGCTTAATGCTTCTTCAGCATGTTCTGTGCCAGCCTCTGCTCAAAGCCCCAGCAGCCCAGATGAATGCTAAATACAGGCAGTCCCCTTGGAACCCTGTATGGACCAGCCCTTTCCAATGCAGGCAAGTTGTCGTCTTCTCACTTCCAAGTGCACACACACACACATGCACCCTGCCCTGGCTGCACTAGCATCCATTCATGCTGTCGCCAGCAGCCTGGACTGCATCCAATTCCTAGAGAGAACTTCAGGCAGAGCCAATTTTCAGTGCTACATGCTGCCTGCTCAGGGACACAGAGCCCTGCCTGTGGGTGAAAGGACAGGGTGATATATTTGCTGGGTCAAGGTGACCAACCGCTCAGCACAAGTCAATTATTCCATTTTCAGCGGGGACAGAGGAAACCAACCCCAAGACCCGCCCATTCAGCCTCAGCTGCAATGCCTGATGGAGAACAAGCTCCCTCTGTCCTAAGAGCTGGTCTCTCCTCACTCTTATTACCCTGCGGCTGCCCCAGACATCCCAGGGGTCAGCTCCACCCCGGAGCAGTTTTCTCCCTCCTTCCCCAGCCACTACATTATTTATCACTATTTATCACCCAGATGCCAGAGCACAATGGATTATATATTTAGACTGTACAGAGCAAAAACTGATAGTGCTGGAGTCAGGCACATGCCGAGCAGGAATATCTCTGCAGCGCTGCTCACATCTGTCACCCCCCACACCATCCCAGCTATTCGTGCCCTGCATTCCTTTCCAGCCTCAGCCTGAACTGCAGCCTTCCTCCTCCATTCCTTTCCAGCCTCAGCCCCTAGCTGCAGTCTTCCTCCTCCCACCTCTCACCACTCTTCCAGTCACACTTCTCGAACCGACACGACCGCAGGTTCACACGTCAGAAGCCACTGAGCGAGCAGCCTCTGGGGGAGCTG